ATAGCGGGTGAGATATGTGGGAGGAGGAAAGAAAGTGGAGAAGGCACAACACTGTCTTCATATTAAAGAGGGACATAACAGTGCTGTGTATTAAAGAGATGGACAGCTGTATCAGCAAGAGGAGGTAACAGCAGAATAGAACAAAAGAAAGATACTACGTAGGTGTACATTTTATTCTTTTTGACTATCCTTCATTTGTCCCATCTTATATCTTTGTCTTGCTTCACCTCCAATTTTCGTCTTTTCATTGTTGCCTACCACACACAAAACATCTTTACATTGGTGTCCTTGTGTACGTTCGTGCGTGTGGTATCGAGTCTCATTCGGATAAACAAGTGGTCAACCTCAGTGAGCTAAATGTTATCAAAAGAACCACCAACATTCTCTCCCATGGGAAATACCCACAGCGTGTATCATCATCAATACTGCCACACACAGCCGGTGTATTCCCCTCAGGGACCTGCGATGAACACAACTGTCTCCAATAAAGAGACTCCGACATTTCTGCAAGCACACTTGGCAATGCTCAATGGCAAAATAATTGTCCCTTAAGTACGTTTTCAAAGATAAATATGAATAACTGTCAAAAATAAATCTGCTGCCTTTCTGGTGTTTTATTGAGTTCATATTTTAAGGACAACATTATTTAGAACTGGTGTGCTACTTTGCCAGCACTACTACATTGTTACAAACTAAACAAAAGAAGTGAGAGAGATGATGAAGGTTATAGATGTAGAGCAGGACTATTTCGGCTACGCTGTACACCGGCCCACTGGGAAACCAGTGACCGACCAGCACACTGAAATAGAAATGGGAGCAGAGGAGAGAGAGATTTGGTGTGGTGGGTGGGTGAGAGAGAGAGAGAGAGAGAGAGAGAGAGAGAGAGAGAGAGAGAGAGAGAGAGAGAGAGAGAGAGAGAGAGAGAGAGAGAGAGAGATGAGAGAAGAGAGAGAGAGAGAGAGAGAGAGAGAAGAGAGAGAGAGATAGAGAGAGAGAGAGAGGAGAGAGAGGAGAGAGAGAGAGAGAGAGAGAGTTTGAATCATTTTGACATTGTTGCTTAATCTTTTTTCTCTACTTTCTAAATACAATAATACCCATTATCCCCAAATGCTGTTGCTATGGAGAAGGGTACAGCCAGTATTGGTTTCTACGAAGTTTAACATTTCCATCCTTTGTGCCATTAGCCACATGAGAGTCCAAAAAAGCACCATGAAAGTTTCAGTTGTTTAAACATTGTATTGTCTAGATATTTCTTACAGTCGTTGTTTCTTCTTCTGTAATTATGAAACGGTTGGAGTCTCATGCACATCGAAAAGCCAGACAAACCTGCTATTGTCTACAGACACAAATAAGGGACTTCTATTTTAGGAGCCTGTTGGAGGGTGTGGAAGAAGATAACAAAGGTGAATGGGAGACATAAGGTGTTGGTGTCTATATTATTAACCTGGCATGGACAACAATTCATATTGAAATCTTGATACAGATTACATGTAAACATAAGGTAAACATTCTTATATTAGGTTGAAGATCATGACATGCTCCATATCGTTTTGCTGCACTTGTGATATTTGTAAGAACCTAACCAAAAAGCTGCTGATAGGATATCTGTAGGTTGGGTGGGATGTGATGTCGAGTAAGATTTGTAGGTGATGGAGGTGAAGTGTGTGTGGTGGGAGGCAAATCATCCTCCAAAGGGAAGATGAGCTGAACATGTGACTTTGTTTAAAGTCAAACTAATGGAATGTTTATAGCAAACTTGAAATTATAAAAAAGGTGATATCAGGCCGAATGTGTAGGCATGCTGGTGGGTGTTCTGCTTTAGATTACAATACTATTAGGCTTAAGTTATAATACTATTAGGCTTAGTGTAGCCTACTTTATATAGCCACAAAATACAATATGGGACAGAGTGGCGCAGTGGGCTGTGTGTTGATAATCAGATCAAGGGTGGCGTTGGTGAACTCCAGTTCGAAACCCGCTACTGCGTCAGGCCGTTGAGTCCTTGGGCAAGACACTTCACCCGAATTCGCTCCTGTGGGTACTGTCGACAGTACATGACCGTTACATGTGTGTAATGTGTATTTGTAAAGCGCTTTGAGCATCTGGAAAAGCGCTATAATAAATGTAAGGAATTAATATCTGAGTTGTATCATATTAAGCTTAGAGCAAATTATTGGTGATGCATTTTTTTTCAATTACGGATTACCCAAATGTGATATAGCTATTTTAAAGGCGTTACACAGTTTTACAGTGAGATATACAGACTGCTTGTATATAATGTGGCTCCACACGTATTTTCTTCTCAGACCCATAGCTCAGACCCTGTACGGGTTTCGCTCAGAACCCCTGCCCTCCCTTTCTCACCACATCAAAGACTATCGATGCCCGAAGCACCTCTCCATCCTCCCAACCCTGGAGGACAGCTTCGTTGTACTGCAGCTCTGGAATGTCTACAGTAAAGAAAATAGTTCAAGGGGGAGTACTTTTTCTTCTTTCTCGGGAGAAGCAGGCCTTTTCTCGTAAACTAAGCAATTGCCTTACATCCCATCTGGCCTCTGAGTGATGTTCACCCGCTTGATGCCTGAGGAAAACCCTAGCTTCTTCACCCCGCAGTCACCTACAAGGCAACACATAGGTAACTACACGCTGGGTGCCGATATAAAGAACAAGGGGATGTTTGTGTTCAACCTCAATTCATGTGCAAAACTATGGGTTTGGAAAATGATGTATCCAAAGGGGTCATTAAACCTTTAAAAATGATTGATTGACAAAATAATGCTCAAAGAAATGTCTTAAAGGAAGCTTCTTTAACGTCCACACATATAGATTGTTAAAAACGTATAGATTGTTAAAAACGTTAATATGTTTTCCCAAATATAGCTATTGCATTGCATGCGTTATGTTCTTTGCATAATGTGTGCCGTGTGAGCTTTATAGCAGTTTATAATTCATTGTATTTCCATTCATTGACTGTGCCCGAGTGTAGCAGTAGCCTGGTGCCCATTCGATCTAAATGCATGTGATTGAGAGTGAAACCTCTTAACTGGGTGCATAGTTGTACTTCCAGAGTCATTACACATATATATGCTGCATATTGGACTATAGATTTTCATGTTAGTATCATGAGAGAGGGCTTGCATAGGCTACACTATAAGGGCTATTCGATCAACCATGTACAGGGCCTCATACCATCAACCTCATCTCGCTGGGACACATACCCACTCACACAACACACATGATGACAGCAAGCAATACAGAATACCTTCAAGGAAAATTACCACGATCGTATTTCGAAGGTAACATATGTTCTGTGGAGCAACCATTCACCCACAAGGGGATCCACTCAGCATGAACACCTGGGGTCGCGAATGCAAATAGCAACACCAGATACCATTACTCGGTTTCAACTAAGTGAACGTTTCAATGAACGATAATAGTATTTATCTTAACAATAAATAATTATAATCATGGAGGAGACAAGAGGAGCATTGTGCTTGTTTGCAGTAGCAACATCGTGTCAAACTATTCAATGGAAGCTCCTCATTGGTCGACACGGAGGACTGCAACAGAAACACAATGAATTCTTGCGAATCCACTATATTCCAACATCAAATTATTATCTAACACACATTTGCAATTGCAGTGTTTTGAATAATTCATGTTTCTATACAAGTTTAATTACTTTCATTTTAGTTTTATTGCAAGTCTACAGGCTGTGATCCTGAATTAGTTTTAAGCGCACTAATACAACTTAATGTTTGTGTATCTAATCAGGATGCACATGTGAATGGGATAATGAAATTATAATTGTGTCTGTTATGATCATTTTCATTGCTACTTCAAATTCAGTTTCCTTTCTCTATTGCTATATCACTGCAGGCATTCTTTCACAATGGTGTTGCAAATGGTGACTAGCAATAGGCACGGCATCTGAGACAATGTTCATCATCATTTTTCTTTTCAGCCCAATTCGATCGATCTTTATTCAACTCTTGTGACACGAACATTTTGTAAATGTACTCTGCCGTGGTCTTGCTGTAGGCATTACAACCGACTGACCCAGAAGTGGTTCTATTGGATGAGAAGACCAGAGAACACAATCCTCTCCGGCTATCAACCTATTATGTTACAGGTTACCTCTGATGTCACACAGGTGAACACTACATGAATATTAATCATTGATCCCTACAACAGGGACGGTGAGTGGATGAATATAACAGGGATCTAAATATTTAATATGCAGATGAATCCATTAGAGAGGTCTGGTTTGTGTATGCTTGCTGTACTAAGCAACAGAAAATTAATTTATGCAATATGTAAATCAAGTAAAGGTCAGGTCATTTAACAGTATATATGCATTGCAATAACAATAAGTATATCATTACCTGGGTCAGGTGGGTAAGTCAGAAAATACATGTTAAGGGATTAATCAAGTGTGTTAAAATATAACTAAAGGGTTAAATATGAAGGTGAAATAATAGGAGACAGGTGCTTTACATGTTTCCTATATATGTATTACTGCTTTCACACTAAGTGCATCATTTCAGACGCCAAAGCACATCCCACGTGGCCAAAACCTCTAACATGTAGACCCAGAAACCTGCTCCTTAATAAGGCTCTGGCTGATTGGCTGATGGGATGGAAGAATGACAAGGGAGGATGTAGTGGGTGGCAGGGAGGGGGGACTTGTATGGAGGCAGAAGACTTAAGAGGGGTGCTTAACTGTCCAGAGAGATTTTGATGCATAATACTGTCACACTGTACATTTCTTAAGATGCCTTACAATGTTTCTCAGCTTATACCATTGATCCTATGAAGAAGGTGCACCGAATAGATAAGGATCCCCACACAAACCAACAGTTAATATCTAACACCAATCTTGAGACTGGCTCAACATACAGCAGAACACATCCATATGAGATCCGTCATATGATACACACCAGTGCACACACGTTCACATGCACACCAAAGCACATACAGAGACAAGCAATGGGTCTTACCTTCTGTGGGTGAGGTTTTCAGTCGTTTGCACAGCCCCTCTGTGCCGGTGTAGTCGTCCTGGAGCTTGACCACCGCCTCAGGGCCCCGCATTTCCATCAAGGAGCGCAGCTCCATGACCGAGCAACCGAAGCCCGCCTCATGGTTGCCCTCATTTATTTGGTTCTTGGCATAAAAATCGCTGTTCGACATGTCCCCCATGATGACAGCTAATCAAGTCAGTTAGATAAGTGTTTGTTATTGCTTATAGGTCAATTAAAAAGAGAGATGAGCTCAGTCTCATCCAAACAAAATCCAAAATAGGTATGAGGCAGGCATCAAAAACAAAAAAAAGGGAAATTAGAATGTCACTAAGGTAAAGGAGGCAGGTAGAGAGATTAAAAAAGGAGGGGGAATCCGAGGGGATCAATCGATAAGCAGCTTCTCTTTTTCAGAGAGACTGTCAGATATCTTCCCACCAAAAACCATCAAAGAGAAGAAACTGAAGAGGAGAAAGAGCAGCAGAGAACGAGGAGAGGAGGGGATGACGGAACACAAGTGAGGAGCATCCAGGTGAGTGTTGGACAGCCCCAGTGGTCAGGTCCTGAGAAGGGAAACGTTGCCGGTTGCAAGTCCTGTCGGTCTCAGGCTCACCACGGCTGCAGTCCAGACCCGCTCCATGTGTGGCTTCCCATTCTTGCTTTTCTGCTGTTACCTCCACTGCCTCTCTGTCTCTACATGGTGGTCTTCCCCATCACTGCTACAGAGAGAGAGAAGAAGAGAGAGAGGGGTGAATTCGAGAGATGAATTCAAAGAGGACAGAAGGTGAGGGAGGAGAAGGAGGAGGGAGAGAAACAGAAAGAGAGCACAAGAATGAGCGGTGCGTTCTCAGAGCAGGGGTGTCTGCAGCAGTAGATGGTGCACGGCTGAAGGACAGCCTCTCCTGGCTGCTGCAGTGACTGTGGCTCTGATGTCTCTATCTACTGCTGCTACTGGTGATGCTAAACTCATTGTGAGGACACACCGACTGCTAGAGAGAAAGAGAGAAGGAGAGACAGAGAGAGAGAGAGAGGGAGAGAGAGAGGAGGGCGGAGAGAGGAGGATGCTCCGTTCTGGTGCAGAGCGGAGAGGAGTTGTGCGCTTGCGGGAGGCTGGGGCTGCTCTGACGACAAAGCGGAGAGGCAGCACGTAACGCTGCGCTGTCACAGGGAGGATGGGCTGAGCTGTTGCTGCTATCTCACCTCAAGTTTTCCTCATTCTCTCAGAGCGAGTGACCTCTCCTATGCAGTCCCTCAATCTCAGTGATCCCTTTCTCTCTGCCAGTTGTCTTTTAATACCTTACATTAATGATTTCACTCCATGTCTCCTGCCCTCTGGCTCAGAACAGCACTCGGCTCAGAGAAGAGACTTTTACTGTGTTAAGGTGCTACACTGTAATTTAATGGATTAAGATAAGTCAAAGTCTGTGAGCATTTGACATCACCTGCAAGCATAGCACTATTGTGGAATACATTCATAGAAAGAGGCTGGCTAACACTTGAAATGACCAATACAAACAGTCAATTGATCCATCATCCTAAACTATTTTTCTTCCTTACCCTGTCTGTGGCACCCCATCATTTATTCTTACTGAAGATGTACATATTTAAAACAGATCATGCATTATGAACTACACTAAAGTTAAGAGAAAGTTACTTAAGCAGCCATGGTTGAAGAAACAATTGGTGCTGTAGTGAGTTTTCAGCACCAGGACAATAAATAACAGTGCCACTGTTCATGGTAATACATTAAGCGACATGTCACTATACAGTGTGTAATGCTGACCATCATTGTTGTGTTTTTTATATGTAAGAAGTCTATGGCACAGAGGAATCAGCAGTACAAGCAATATGTATTCATGTTAAGGGATTGGTTCAGACAAATCTTCACAAATGATGGTCTTTAAGGTGCAGTTTGTCCTGTTTGACATGGTGTGCCAAGTTGTTTTTAATGAGGATACAAATAAAGACAACAATTGGTCCTGATTGTGCAGCATATAAGAATTCAAACCTGATGCTTCAGCCAATTGTCTGAGGTTCTGGCATAAATATGCGACGTGTTCTAGTAAAAGTGACTGTTTCTATCAGATTGGTTGCTAATATGGAAATATAGTATAATACCACCCTTTTCCTTTAAGTCATCAGTGTCTCACAATGTCCTTAGACCCACACCATCAATACACAATTGATTATCACCAGTATGTGGGCCTCCATCTTCAGTCAATGACACCAGTGACCAGTAAACCTCTGACTGATCTACATCAATTCCCAGTCACTCAGAGGAGACCTGGAATCAAGTCACCACTGTATTGCATTATGCTGAAGGCTACAGTAAATCAATAAAGCACACAAACTGTCTGGCGATGCCGTCTTTTCATAATCTGTAATGTACAGTATTAATGCTGCAACTAATTCTTCTTTTTGTTCTCCAAAGAGTAATAATGCATTAGTACAGTGAGGGTCATCTAAGGACTATAGGTATATTCTTAAAATGCGTCAAAATAACAGCACTTAAAACACGGCAGGTCGCTGCACTAATTTAAAAAACAGTTGATCGTATAATGAGGGATTTGGTCATTAATGTTTTATTGTACAATCTGCTCATGCTCTGCTTCTCATCACACAACAGTGTTCACTATGTGAAATGCCTGCTTTATGAAACAGAATCTGAATCTTAAAAATACTATGTGTATGTACAGTTTCAGTTAAAGTGTAACCAGCAGAAGCAAGACGCTGCATTGTTGTGATTTCCTATTGTTAAGCTTAAACATGTTCCTTGTTACCGCCAGTGCACTCTGGGAAATCTTTTGTATTCTTTTCACTACAGCAAAGATAATGGAGCTACCCAGTCAGTGTTGTGTTTTTAAAAAGATGTTACCTTGTTGTTTGCCTGTAGTACAATTGTCAGGTAACACATATATTATGTATGTCCGCCACCGCTAGGAGAGCTTTCCTTGTATACAAATTCCTAGAAGCTAGAATACAGGTTGATACTGGATTGGTAGGCACAATGAAATACAAGACAGGGTAGCACATTACGCTGTCTTCGCCCTTTGATGCCTTCTTGGAAGTAGCAATAGGAATCAACTTAGCAGCACATAAATCTCAGCAACACTGAGGCGGTGAGCGCTCTCAGGTTATTGGTCCTGTTGGCACGCTGCTTGATGTGGCCCGACTGACACAGTCAGCAAGGTGTCCAGACGCACATATCAAGTACAATGACAAAGATGGGACTAGTATCCGACACAATAGAGCGCTCGGAACAGTGGGGCGCCGACCTTGTCACAGCAGGTTGGCGTGACATCCTGCCAACACGTGAGTACACATCTGTAACTCCACAGGAACCAGTCCAGTGTGTTAATGAGCTCCTGCCCTCGCTGAAGTGACAAAGTTACACAGCATTGGCAATGTCACCTGGACAGGTGCGTCCTAATAAACCTGTTAAACATTTCTGTAAAGCGTTTCCAACCAAGGCAAAAGGACCTTACTCTTTCTAGAAATGTTGGGTATTGAATAGTCTTTATTTCATTAAACATAAAAGAACTGCAGGTGGCCCGACTGCATCTTTCTCTGATCGAGATTTTTCGCCAACATTTATGTTGCCCCCTCAATCACCTGACAAAAAAGGTTCAATCCATATTGTCGCTACTCTATTTATGCCAATGCAGACATCTGTGCTGGCTAGATCCTCTCAAGCAGTCAAATAAAAGAAAACAAATGCTATACGGGAAAATGATGTGTGTGTATCGGTGTGTATGTATTGTTATATCAAATGGCTGAGGGGGGAAACTATCACACAGGTAATCCATCACCAGTCATACTGCTTAAATACCTCTACTATCTATATCTACGGAAAAAGAGTAATGCAGTTATTTCTTTCCTACTAAATTGTCTCCCGCAGTTTCTCCATTAATTAGTCAGATACTGGGCAAAATGGAAACCAGCAGGGCACGGGGCGCTGTAGATTAAAAACCTACCGCCTTGACGGTTATGGCTGTTAAATGTTTGAGCTGGCATGGCACATAAGCCCAGACAACCAATAATGCTGATGATCACAAAAGACAAAATTACCATTATTCCAAAAACGTCAATCCTGTCCCATGTACTGTCCAATATCAAAAAGGCTTCAAACTGAAGCAACGTCAACCAGCGACACAGTGTGATGCATACTGTTTATGTCAAGCTGACCACCTTTACTGCATGTCATTCTTCCATCTGTTACAATATGTGTCTTGTGTGAAAGACGTTTAAATTGTGTGTAGGAATGCAGTATTACATGATTATTTGACTGCAGAATGTCCAAGCTGCAACAACTGTTCTGTTCTGTAAGGCAGTGTGTTTCCAGCTTCATGTTAGCATGTTGGTGATGGAAGTGACTGGTGGTGGTGTTATATTCTGCTGGTGTGCAGCTGCCTATCTTTGATTTACAATGACATGCGCAAGAGTGTGAAGACCTAGATGTGGGAGGGAGGGAAATGAGGAGATCATTTTTAAAGGGAGGGAGAATGTTGAGAGATGGAGGAAGGGTTATACACAGAATAATGGGAAGAAGAGAGGAGGGAAAGGATAGCAAAGGGAAAGGTAAGACAGAGGCTTCACTGCTGAAGCCTGAGCTGAGTAACTTCGAGGAAAACAATGTTCTCCGTTTTATATAATGTATGTTATATAATGTAAGCACACAGACACACTTACATGCATATAAGGTATTTCCACAAATAATTGATTTTCTATTTTCTTTGAAAAAAGGAGGTCAGCTGTAAGTAGAGCTTTTGTTGGCGTTTCATATGCATTCATGGTTAAAACCATGATGAAGGCAGTGTGTCAAAATGGTTCTTCCTCACTGTTGAATAATGCAAACATCAAAGGGTGAGCAACTTTCTCTTCAAGTGTTGCGGATATGGAGTGTTTTGTGATTTTGTTCGCATCTTGCAAAAACATTCTGTCTCGAATATTTCCATTACCACCACCACTCCCAATCTTCTTTGTATCGTCTGTCTGTACATTGTCCCATCAATCTGTACGCTGCTTACCCGTCTATCTGAAGCTGACTGAAACACCTCCCTGCTGTGATATTCTTCTGTCTACCTCCCTGCCTACGTGCCAGTCTGCCTGCATAATTGCTGGCCTGCTCCCCATGGCTTGACAGTGAGTAATGAGTAACATATGATCAAAGACTCAAGGATA